GGAATAGTCTTTGGTTTTCTTCACTCTTCTTTGCTCTGGACAAATAGAGACCCATCATTGCATCTAGCTGGCTGCTTGCAAGCTTTCAAGATCCCAATTGCTACGCACCAAAGTAGAATGTGGAACAGTGTGTTTTTCTATTGCCACCTTGCTTTGGTTACCTCGTGCTGTTCTGACAAGAATATACCACAAATGGGATGGCTTGAAGAAACAGGTGTTCATTCTCTTATAGTTTGGAGGCTTAAAGTTCGAGTTCCAAGTGCCAGGCTCTAGGGGCTCGGTGAAAGCCCCTCAACCTTGGGCTTCAGCTCTGCCTCCTGCTCCCAGCCCACTGAAGCTGGAGGTATCTCTTCACTCAGGCAGCTACTGGCTGCTGAGGCTAACAAGCCCAAGATCAACAAATAAAATGGCACAGTCCTGATGTTACCAAACCACATGGCAGGCCACTCAGCCAGGCCTAGCCAAGTTGACACATAACCTTAACCACCACATGCCTCTTAGCACTTCCAGCTCTCCTGAGTAATTTGATTCTGTCTCTGAAATGAACCCTTGTAAACGTTTTACTATTAGTAACAATGAGAAAATATAAACGGGAAATACAAAAAGGCATCTTTACTGTTTCTTTACTGAAGCTGTATAACATCCAACATTTGTATTGGTCCTAGAAGAACACTTTTAGGAGACGTTTGGTTCATTTCTAGGGAGGTCTGGTGGTGTAGTAGTTAAAGGCTCTTGGGTGCTAACCAAGAGGTTGGTGGTTCTAACCCTTCAGTCTCTTAACGGAAGAAAGATGAGACAGTCTACTTTCGCAGAGAGTTACAGCCTTGGAAATCCAATGGGGCTCGCTGTGATTCTGAATCGACTTGGCAGTGAGTTTGAGTTTGGTTTTTTGCTTGTTTTCTAGCCTCAAGCCTTAAGAACTTTTCATAAATTGAGCCATGTATGTAGTTTGTGTTAAGAGTTAGGGCCCTGGAGTCCCAAAGCCAAAAACAAACTCATTGCCATTGAGTTAATTCTGACTCATAGCGACCCTCTAGGACAGAGTAGAACTACCCCGTAGAATTCCCAGGGTTGTCAATCTGTAGGGAATCAGACTGCCTTATCTTTCTCTGGCAGAGTAGCTGGTGGGTTCAAACTGGCAAGCTTTTGGTTAGTACCCAGGTGCTTTAACTGCTGTGCCGCCAGAGTGCCTTTTGTTTATGTTAAAACCAAAAAACTCAAACTCATTGCCATCGAGTTGATTCCAACTGATAGCGAACCCCATTGGTTTCCAAGGCAGTAAATCTTTAAGTAAGCCAACTGCCTCATCTTTCTTCTGCAGAGCGGCTGGTGGGTTCAAACCACTAAACTTTTGGTTAGCAGCCAAATGCCTTTACCACTGCACCATAAGCTAGGAATTAGAGATGAATGAAATAAAGCCTTTGCTGTGAACGAACTAATAAAGAAAAACAAGGAGGACAAATAAATGATGTCGTCCACTATGAAAAGCTGAGTAATTGAAATAGGCATGTGGTATGAGGTGGGACAGGGAGAGTGGTGCTCAGGCAGATGGGGTAGATCAGGGAAGGTTTGCTGTGGAAGAGACTTCACATTTTTGAAAGATAAGATCTGATCTTTGAAGGGTTAGAGGTGAGGATTCTGTGAGTCATTAGTATCTGGGGAACTTTGAGAGAAAAATACATATTTTTGGTTTTAACTCTCAGCCTCTTGTATCTTTAACGAGCTCTTGTGATGTAGTGGGTAAGGCATTTTGCTGCTAACCAGAAGGTCAGTGATTCAAACCCACTAAGTGCTTGCAAAAACGGCAAGGAGGCCACATGTTCTGACCTCCTCTAACCCTACAAGGGGAAGGCAGGATCATCAGCAGTAACCCAAGGCCTATTACTGCAAGGCCAGACATGCTGCCTCCCTTCAGCCCTTTCACCAACCGTTCCTCCCAAAGCATCCATTACCTCTCTCCTGGGTTCAATAATTCGCTGCAGTGGCCACACAGAACTCACAGATTATGAGGTTTATTAGGGAAGCACCACAGGCTACAATTCGAGTTCAAGAAAAATGTTCAGTCTCTCTCCCAGCCCACCATCCCTCGGCCAACAGTCTCTCACAGTCTCTTTTCCAGCAGTGCTGGTCCCTCGGTGTCTCACTCAGCGATGCGTGTCTCTTGCGCCTCTTTCTCAGCAGCACGTGTCTCTTTCCGGAGCGCGTGTCTCTTTCAGCAGCACGTCTTCCTCAACCAGCAGTCAGAGAGAGTTCTGCCTCCAGGAGGGCTCCTTTTGAGCCCGGAAGGGTGGTCAAACTAGCCAATCATAGCATCAGAACTCTAAGCATCTGAGAGAGAGTGGGAACCTCCCAGAACATTGTATTGTGCCACTCCCAACAGAAGTACTCCAGGTGGACACCTTCAGCAATCAGGAGCTCCTCAGTTGCTCATAGCAAATCCCACCTTGGAGTTTACAAAGACTTATGGGTAGAAAAGCCACACAAAGTAATTTACTACACTGCAGTGCTCCATGGGAAGAAAAGAGGCCACCTGCTTCTGTAAAGATTTACAGCCTTGGAAACCCAGTGGGGGCTGCTATGAGTCAGAATCTACTCGATGGCAGTGGGTCTTGTATCTTTGGGACTGGCAATCTTTCTTGTTTTTGTTTTTTAAAGTTTCGCAGGACTTTCTGCTGCAGATAACTTGGTATTTGGAAACCACTACTATAATTTTCTTAGTTTTCAAACTGAAAGAAGAAAGAATTTAATAATTTGATCTTGGGAATCTAAAGTGAACACCATACTGCCATTTTAGTAAAACCACTTGGTGGTTTTATTGTGTGTATGATAATCTTCTGCTAGGTGGTTAATATAAACTGCTTGTCAGATGAAATGTGTATGAATATTAAGGTGCCCTTTGGATCATTAGCTTTAGAACCAATTTTGTTGTGAAATACCCAGCATTTTAATTTGCATAATTATGCATATGTAGTGCTTTTCAAGGACCATGAGAATAAAGAATGTCTGATTCAGAAATTGCCTGGACACTCCATAGTTGATTGGTGTTTATGACAGTAGAACATGAGGTAATAATACTTAATAATAGCCCGTGTATTCAGGGTAGCTCTGGTGGTGTAGTGCCTAAGGCATTTGACTGCTAACTAGAAGGTTGGAGGTTCAAACGCACCAGCCACTCCGCAGAAGAAAGACTGGGCAATCTACCTCTGTATAGATTTACCACCTTGGAAACCCAAGGGAGGTCACTTTGAGTCAGAATCAACTTGATGGCACTGAGTTTGGTTTTTTGGGTTTATTCAGGGTAAAGCCAGTAGATATTAATGTGAAAACACAAAGTCTGCTTGTTAAATAGGGAAAATGATGGGAATAAAGAATTTGCCAAGGGAAGGACAGAAATACTTTTAACATATAGTTAGCTGTTCACAGTATTTTATTAGCAAAGTTTTTTTTATTTTAAGTTTTGAAGAATTGAACACAATATTGTAATGGAAGTATTTTCATTTTTATCTAAGAACTGTAGAGGGTGCTATATCATTTGGGATACTCATGATCAGAATTCCCTTAGGTTGCAGTATCGAAGTTGATTTCTCTTGAATGTACTGTCCATCTTTTCTTACTATTTTGACTGAAAGTAGAATGATTAATGATGCATAAAGGTGCCCTGGTTACACAATGATTAAGGCTCGGCTGCTAACTGAAAGGTTGGCCATTTGAATCCACCAGTTGCTCTGCAAGAGAAAGATGAGGCAGCCTGCTACTTTAAAGTTACAGCCTTGGAAATCCTGAAGGACAGTTCTCCTGTGTTCTGTCGGATCACTGTGAGTCGTAATCGACTCGATGGTACACAACAACAAAGTTGCATAATTGATATAATCCATAATCAGTATTGATCTGATAGAACTTGATTGCAGAATGGTATTCATCTTCCAGATTGTTTGAATACAGTGAAATTATGATTTCCCACTGTTACATTGGTTAGAACAAAAGCATTGCCATCAAGTCAGTTACTTTTCCACCACCTGCCCTTAGCCTCCACTCCCAAGCTGAGCATATCTGATGTAAAATTGGCGGCTAAAGCAGCATTCTCTTTCTCCTCTTCAGATAGGTCTCAGTAGGTCAAAGAGGAACCAAAGTATGTAATGGGAATGTATGTTTTAGGTAGATCTGGTTCCGAGAAGTGTTATCTTCAGAAGAAAAAATTCTGGAACAAATGGAGTTTCATTTTGAACCAGTTTTTGAACAGGGCAGGATTTAGAAGTGGTTTTTGTTCAGGTCGAAGGCTTTTCTGGCTCATTTATTCAGGGAGAAGTTCTGTGAATTCCAAACTACAGTTGTTCCCTAATTTTTTATGTTTAATGGTAACATTACAAAACTTGAGGTAGAATTACCTGATAAAACCTATATCTTAAAGAATTGTTTTTAGAAATCACTTTTGGATTCACTTTCAGAGTGCTAAAAATTTAGAAATTTTTTGAACTTGGTCAAATTAGACTAAGTTGTGTATTTTGGAGTAAAAGGCAATACTAAGTCTGCTATATTTGAAAAAGAAATTACCAAAAATATTAGATACATAGCTTTCTAAAATACAAGCATTTTAAAGGATTCTGGGACTGAAACTTTGCTGGGAACTTTTTCATTTTTCCTGAAACTATAGCTTAAATATTTATTAATGAAGTTTTAGAGTATAAGGAGCCCTGTTGGCATAGTGGGTGAGGCTTTTGGTTGCTAACCAGAAAGTCGGTGGTTCAAACCTATGAGCTGCTGCATGAGAGGAAGATGAGGCAATCTGCTTGCATAAAGATTTATAGCCTTGGAGGAAACCCAGTGGGGGTTGCTCTGAGTTTTTAGTTAGTTTTACATTCCAGTTCCTGAAAAATTTGTTCTCCCATTCTTCCCCAAAAGTGAAAGCATTTAAACTCTTTTTATGGGGGAAAAAAATCGCAATTATTTAAGCTTGCTCATTAAACATGTGTGCTTTTTTTTTTTTTTTTTTTAAACTCAAGGCACCACCTTCCATGGTCAATAATGAGCAGCGCCAGCATGCAGAGCACATATTCTTATCATTTAGGAAATCAAAGTCACCGTTTGCAGTTTGCAAGCATATTTTGGGTAAGTATTCACTTTAACAATATTTTTGCATAATCAGATCTAGTTTTTCTCTCTTGAACACTGGATATTTTAAGTTCCTTCAAAAATAAATAGGTTTGTATGGTTCTAATATTTGATCTGTAATCATTCTGCTGAAGTGATTTTAAAGATACTCCATAAAGCCAGACAGAAAACTTTTTTTTTTTAGCTTTGGATTTTTTTTTCCCCTCTTAAGAGAGAATGTTCAATATTTGTTTTACTGTTTATTAATATGAAGGTTGTTAATAGTGGGGAAAAAAATTAATGGTTTTTCAAGTGTGATATAAGTGATTACTATACTGTATCTTATCCCTGTTTAAGTATTAGCTGTACAATTAAAATTGCTAGGCATAACATTTAATACAGTATTTTACTACTTTATAGTAATTTAAAAAATTTAAACCACTTCAGTATTTACTGTAAGTTTTTTGGAGGTTTTCTATCTTTTCTTTTTCTCAAAGTGTTTCTTTTTAGAAAACCATTTAAGTTTTATTCAACTAGCTTAGCAAATATTACTCAGTTCTAGGTAGAAGATTACTATACACCCTAAAAACAAAGCACTGAGTTTTATGTTCATAAAATAAGCTTTATGAGTCTCCTGTGTCTGACATATGTACAGAAACGATCTTTCCTTTCAAAACAGTCCTAAGAATTATGTTCTCTTACTCAAAGATGGCATTTGCTAATAAGAGTTATATAACACCACCATCTGTCTCTTAGATATTTTTCAATTACGGTAAGAGAGAGTTCATTGGTTATTGTTATTTTACAACCTAATCATTGTTGGCTGTTTTTGTAATTGAAACCATCTTTTTTATAAGTCATATTTAAGGCTCAGAAAGGCTATTTGAGTTTTCCATGACCACAAAATTGGTAGTTGAGTATTAGAAACTAAAACATCTATGTTTTTATTCTGGGGTTTGTAGTAAGGCTTCTCTATTAGCCAGCCTCACTCTGGTTTCCACATTGAAATAAATTACAATTAAAATTACATGTTAAAATACTCAATTACAGAAGTGCTTATAAATCAGCATGGTTAGATTCTAGGAGAAAGAGCACTGGAGGAGGCCCCACGAGTTCATGGTTCCAGTGTGCTTGCTGAAATGAACTTTGTCACCTTGGGGAAGTCACTTAACCTCTCTGAGCCTGTTATACATCCGCCACCCCGGAATGATGATACCAGTTTCCTTAAGGGAGTTGGCTATTGTAAATTGTTGCCAGACTCAAACGTAGTAACATTTAGAAAAGCACTTTGTAAACAGTAAGGTCCTATAGACATGTCATGCCACATTACCTCATTTTAAATGGCTTTTAAAATACCTGATAAGCTTAAAAAATTCCGTTTTCTGGCTCATTCAGGAGTTAGTTCATATCATTAGAAGTGCTTTAACTTTTTAAATTCTAAATGAGGCAGTTTTTAATTATTTATTTCTGAGTGGTCACTTTTTATACTCAGGTGATTCTGTTTCTTTTACTAAGAAAATTTCTTACATTCAGAATGTTAAATTAAAAGAAACAGAGCTAAATGTCATTATAAAGGGCTCAAGGGAGTGTTACCTCATCCTTCCCTCCTTAAAATTGTTCGGCATTTATATTTTAGAGAACCACCGAGTTATACTGTTAACCTAAAATAATTTGAGTTTGATTTTCTTGATGCATGCTTCAGCTAGATTAACGAGGATTCCATCGGTGTATCATCTGACATCCCATTGTAATTCAGTTGTCATTCTATACTGGTTTGGAAATCATTGATTTAAGTAAAAAATATTGTATTAGAGCATTTCTTGTTTATACCACTCCTTCCTTTGAGAGCTTGTGTATTTTATGAAGTATTATTGCTTTGTTACAATTTGAGCTTGTTTGGAGAATATTTGGTTTTCCCGGTAATTTTTTCTAAAGAGTGATATTTCTGGTTACACCTGTGCCTTTTAAAATCAGTTTGGGTTCTGAGATATTGTTTAAAAGACTGACTGCATGTGTTAAAGCATAATCATTAATGTACTGCCAAGCCCTGTGTTACATTAATGTGTACATCTAAACGTCACAGAAAATCTTTTTAACTCCCTACTTAGTTGCCACCAGCACAAAATGGTTAATTCCTCTAAGAAGACTTCTCATACAAGTGGCAGTCAATCACAATTCAGAATTTTCACATTCTTAGTTAGGGATTGTATGTCATTTGTGTAGAACGTCTGGGTAGCATATTCGAATGACGGGGAAGACTTTCTCTTGGAAGCTTCCCTTTTCTGACCTCTTAAAATTCTTCCTTCTCACTTCTAACTTACGTTTCATATGTTTCTAGTTTTCCTCATTGCTTTCTCTTATCCCTTTGTTTTTCTCTGTTTCATTTCCTTGGCTCTTTTCTCTGTGTGTGTGCACGTGTGTGCTTGTGTGTGCTTGTGCGTTTCATCAGAAGAGCACTCTTAGACTCCTTCACCTCAGAAGTCTTCAGCGCTTTGTGGTCTTTATATGGTCAGATGTACCTTCAAAAACCTGTGAATTACATTCTTGTTAAAGAAATACCCAAGAAGAGTAAAGAATCGGTTTCTGGAGTTAATTGTGTAGCATTCTTTTGTCCTTCTTTCAGAAATAGACTTTTTATCCCACTCACTTTTACTTCTTGCCTGAGAAGTAGGCAAAACAAACCAAACCACTAAAAAGTCAGTTACTAATAAGCATTTTCTTCTCTGAAGATGGAAAATGGTTTTCTTAAGCAATGCTACATAATGATTGTCATCTTCCAGATGAGACTTTTATTACTGGTTGATGGGCATATGTTTTCTTATCCAAAGAGCAGACCTTGTGCTCAGAACTCATGTTGCTTTAGCTTTGGAAAGAAATCTTTAAGGCTAAGGAGTAGCAGCTGGACATCTGTGGCTTGAATACTAGGGTGTATTTTTTTTTTTTTTTTTTTAAAAAAGCCCTTTGACCAGAATGTTGTAGTTTTCCTCTCTCATTATTTGTGTCACTTTCACTTTTATCTTCATAGCTCTGTTTAGTTGCAGGTGGCTGACAGGATATAAATGAATTTTGTTCATGTAATTATTATTAAAAGATAGTTAGCATGGTGGGAAGTGAATGCTTCCTGCTAAAGTAGTCTAAAATAATTTAGTATCTAGGCGGCATCCTAGTCAGTGACAGATAGTCCTAAAAGTAGTTACTTTAGACATTCCAGAGGACTTGTGAGTTCTTCCAGAAGACCTTGCAGTTTGGGTCATCTTTACAGCAGAGAACCGGAATAAGGCCCCTATATACATCGGAAGTCCTCATTTCCTACTGGTGGGCTTCTAGATTCCCTTCTAGCATCTCTTGCAAATTTATATGATGTGTAAGTATGGCTTAAGGAGCTCTGGTGGCGTACTAGTAGGGCATTTGGTTGCTAACAAGAAGGTCTGTGGTTCAAACCCACCAGCTGCCCCGCAGGAGGAAGATGAAGCAATCTACCCATATAGATGTACAGCCTTGGAAATCCAATGGGGGTCGCTATGAGTTGGAATTGACTCGATGGCAGTGGGTTTTTTTTGTTATTGTAAGTACGGTTTATTAAGGCCAATACTGATTTTTATGAGGAAGTGTGCATTTATAAATTCGGAATTTATTTCACTCAGATACATCTGTTCTTAGAGACAGCTTCTTATGAGAATAATAATTTAGATGTCTTCATTATTAACTTATCATAGAGAAGAATCTAAGAAAAAGAATTAGGAAACTCCTGTTTTGTCTTGAAGATTTTTGAATGTCATCCAGCCTCCATAATTGCCCCCAAAAATGGCAGAGGAAAAGGCTTAGGATATAAGAATAAATAGCGAGAAATAAGCATGCTTCATTGCTCATGAAACTGTGAAGGTACTTACTTAGTGTTATCTTCACTGGCATATGCGGCTAGGCTGGATTAGTATTTTTCAAGGAGTACTTACCATCCGCGTGACCTTGAATGTCGTCTTGTAATTTCTCGGGGCATCAGTTTTTTCAACTGGGAAATTCAGGGATCTTTTGAGTCCTAGTTCTCAAGTTCTGGAAGTCCCTAAAATTCTGTTTTCTTATTAAAATTCATGGCCAAGGATTTCATTCTTGTTCTTTGAAACTTCATTGCAGCTGAAAACGAAGACAGGGAAGCCACTGTCATCTTTTTCAAAAAGAGGTTTCCTATGAGAGATTGTTGAATTCCCTTCACCAGGCAGAAGTAGATGTAGCTGGTTTCTCTTTTTAATCTTCTTTGAATAAAACTTTTTTTCCTCTTCTTGGAACTATAAACACATCCTTTTATGCATGTTCATGTTTTTTAGAAGTTGTTGCTTTGCTCTATTTATTGATTATTTTTTACAGTGTCTACCATTTTGTGAACTCTGATCATTCTCTTGATTTGAATTCACATTAAGGTAACATGGAATAATGAAAATTTAAAAAGTAGAGTCTAGGTTGATTCCTTGTGTTAGTTTTGATATATTCAAAAGTTCTATCTAGGAGTCTAAATGTGATCAACATTTTGTAGGGCACACTTTTTCTTACAGATTTTTGTAGCTAGTAGATCAAGACTCTTTAGATCTGTAAATGTCCTGAGCCTGAATAGGAGAGAAAACTCTGTGCCTGATTGTATCTTCATGCTCTTCTGACAAATTCTTGAAGGCACCATTCTACCTACAGTGAATTTCCCATGTCCAGTGATCTTGATAAATAATCTGCCATCGATTCATAGACTTCTCATGCATTTCACATGGTGGTTATTTTTTTAGAGCTTCAGAAAATTTCTGCTTTTTCTTGACTGTTTCTCCCTTTTGATAATGCTATTTGGGAATGAATTATCATGGCATTGATGAATAAAAGAAAAAAAATAGAAAATTAATATATTTCTCAGGTGTGTTAATTTTCTATTTTTGCCCCCCTGATTGAGCTTTCAGTTCAGCCACTGTAACTTGTTAGTCAAGGCTGGGTCTTTCTAAGTTTAGCTTTGGGGTTTTACTTAGTTTGATCAGTATTGCAATCAGAAAATTCACGAGAACTTCTCACCTGTGTAAATGTGACTTGCTTTTTTGTTGTTTATTTTGTTTTGTTTTTTAATTTTGAAAAATGAACCCCAACATGCTTGTGTTTATTTCTGAACTTGCTATGAGAGATGGGTCATCCTGCTGAAATATTGAACAGCATGGCTCATCACAAATAGTAATGTTCAAAGACTCGTTTATTAAGGTGTTTTTCAGACACGAAGTTTGCTTTTACGCAGTGTGAGAATCTCTCAGGAGATTTCCTGATTGCTTTCTATTTTTATTTTTATTTTTTTTAAAGCTGTGTTATTTTTTAGTTCTTCATGCTTTGGAAGTAACAGTTGAAGAGAGGTGAGGAAAGTTTGTGAAAATTGTGATCGGTGATTAGCTGCCACCTGCCTGAGGTGTCTTCTGAGAGGAACTAACCTCTTTGTGGTGCTAGAGCAAGGTCACTGGATAAAAAAAAGAACAGGTAACCATCTTATTCCTTGTCTGCAAAGTTCTGTTTTAAAATTAATAAATGAAAAACGTTCAAGGCAGTATGAACTCTGTTTTAAAGGAAGTTTTATTTTGTTGTTGTTTTCTCCTCAGAAACTAGTAAAGTGGACTATGTCCTTTTTCAAGCTGCCACAGCCATAATGGAAGCAGTTGTACGAGAGTGGATTCTCTTGGAAAAAGGTAGCATCGAGTCACTGCGAACATTCCTTTTAACCTATGTCTTACAAAGACCTAAGTAAGTACATGGAGGAGGAACTGCTAGAATACCTTGCTAAGCTTGTATATCTGTCTTTTTGTTCTTCATTTTTAATGTTAGACATTTATGGTTGAGCTCTATGTGGGGCTCGTATTTTAAATGCACATATATATATAATTGTAGGTGGTTGTGGTACTTAGTGAAATAATACCTTTTATTTAAGCTTGTGATACTAGATTTTGTTTCTCCAAAAAGATTGTGCTGGATATTAGGTTTTATTGTTGTTGAGTTGTAAAGATTTTGCTTATAAAGTAATGTTGCTCTTGGACTCGTTCTAAATCTTTATCTTACTTGCTCTTTTGGTGCTTGTTGGGGGTGCTTATTCTTTGAACATGTTCTGAATTCAGAATCTTAAGTATTATTAAGACAGAGGTGAGTATCTCAAGCCAAGGGTTTGTCAAGTAGCATTGACGAACCAAACGTAACATACATATGGACAAATGCATAAGAAAGATCTAGAAAAATAAACACCAAGTTCTTTAATAGTTTTTTTTGGGAGAGGGGATCAGGTTTGAGGAATGGGTTGAGAGTGAATTTTTTTTTTTTTTTAATGTTGCACACACCTGTGTTGTTTAAACATTTCGCAAGATTGTATTCATTTATTGCTTGTGTAATTTTTTTTTTTTAAATCTGAGGAAAATTCTCATAGCTATACTGCAGTTTCTGAGGAGAAACTCATTTATTACTTATTTTTTTTTAAGCCAAGCCCCCTCAAACACCAAGTCTCCTTTTAAGAACAGGGAATGTATAGCGTACGTTTGTTGGTGGTGCAACACAAAACTTTTTGCGTGGATGTTAATTTCCAAATTAAACGAAGAAAAATGTGATAGAATCAACTATGCTTGTCTTCAGGAGTGGTGATTTCATACATACATTACATACGTAAAACTTTAAATCTAATGTAGAGTATGCTGTCAGGCTCTTGTTGCTAATGATCATTCAGTAGCGAAGTCTGTGAGTTCATAGTATTTAATAACAACTGCTGATGTCTTAGTACTGGGTTGTCCCAGGCACCGGAACTGCCTTACATATGGAGAAATACGTGAGAGAAAAAGGTCAAGGTTTACTTATCCAGTTAGCATGACAGCTGTGTAGTATGTTCTGTGGATAAGTGAATTTGTGCATGTATGTGAGAGGAGACACACATGGGGAGGAAAGGGAATGCCTTAGTTGCTTTTCTGGTTTTAATAGAATGTTCATGGTTTTAAACCTTTCTCTTCTCCTTCATGCTGGTTTTATTTTTTTTTTTTTTATTTAACTGGTATGTGTGTGAGAGAGAGACAGTATTTGAGTGTCTGGTCCTTTTGTTGTTTCCATTTGACCATATTTTCTAGGCCTGGCAGGAGTATTTTTCTTTTGACCCCTCTGTGCCTAAAAGATTAAGGAGCTCTGGTAGTACAGTGCCTAAAGCATTTGGCTGCTAACCAGAGGGTTGGCAGTTCAAACTCACCAGCGACTCCACAGAAAGAAGATGGGGCAATCTACTTCCATAAAGATTTACTGCCTTGGAAACCTAGTGGCGGTCATTATGAGTTGGAATCGACTCAATGACAGTGAGTTTGGTTTTTGTGGGTACCTAAAAAGAAGTAGAAGTCTTGACAAGTGAGTGTTTTGTTGCATTATTTTGTTCATTTCTTTTGTGTAACTCACACACATTAAAAAAATTGCTGCTACAGGCAGCAACCATGGAAAAAGATACAGATCCTGTTGCATTTTACTGAAAATGATAGATGCTTTGATCTTTCTTATCTACGTAAAATATTTTTGTAATCAGTTTTGGTAATCTGTGTTTAGGAGGAATTGTTAAAGCGAAGTTGAGAGAAACCTTCATGTTTATATTTATATAATAAAAGAAAATAAACCTGAAGACATTTCTCTTCGCAAGAGTTTACATGTGTGAAGAACTTTTTATATGTTAGCCATTGGCCTGGAAGTGTTTAAAAAAAAAAAAAAAAAGTTGTCTGACGATGACTACCTATGTGACCTTGAGGAAATGACTTAAAAACCTTTCAACTATTTGGTTTTCTTACATGTCAGATTGGTATCTACTTCATGTGACTAGTGTAAAGAAGACATGGACAGTCAGGCCTGAGCACAGTATGTGGCTCACAGTGAGAGTTGTGGCTATTGCCGCCTCCACCATTGTCAGCTAAGGAAGTGGGCCTGGAGGAGTCAAGGTCACCAGGGGACCTTTTATCAAACTAGACACTTTCTCTTTCCTTGGGACTTGTTGTTTATCACAGCCTCCCACCCCTCAACCCGATGGATTCAAGTATATGACAAATTGTGGTTGTATGTATGTGTGTAGTCTCCTGTATTACCCAAAAGCGCTTAAATATTTTTTACTAGTTCAGAAGCTATTTTAGAGTTGATTGTAGGGTTCTACTTTGAAATAGTTCACTTATGTATTTAAAAAATATATCTTTTCAATGTTCAAAAAAGTTGAAAGAGTAGTACAGCGAACACCCACATACCCGTTTCCTAGTAGAGGCACATTTGATTTTGTCACATTTGTCATGTTTAATTTTTCTCTCTCATGTATATTTGTTACCCTTCCCCCACTCCCCCCTCACACACACACACACCTAACCATTTGAAAATGTGCCAGAGACCTCATGATACTTCATCCTTAACTACTTCAGCATCCCTTTCCTAAGAACATATCTGGGTGCTGTTGATACATGTGGTGTATGTTTTGATTATCTGATACATATTCCATATTCTGACTTCTCCAGTTGTCTGGATGATGTTATTTACAGCCTTTTACAGGTTATGTTTTGATCCAGAATTTAACCAGAGGTAATACATTGTATTTTGTTTTCATGTCCTTTTAGTCTCTTATAATGTGAAACAGTTCTCTTGCCTTTGTTTTTTTTTAAAATCTTCTATGACACAGACAGTTTTGTCTTACAGAATGTCCTACAATATGGATTATAGCCAGATTCAAATTTTGATGTACTCTGTAGGTGGAAAACTATAAGTAAAGTATACAGTACAGATTTAAAAAAAAAAAAAAAAAACCCAAACCAACCACCATCGAGTTGCTTCTAACTCATTGTGACCCCATCTTGGGTTTCTGAGGTGGTATCCCTACGGAAGTATATTTCTCGATCTTCCTTCTGAGGAGTGGCTGAACCACCAGAGGGTTTGAACCACCAGCCTTCTGGTTAGCAGTCACATGCCTTAGGCACTGTGCCACCAGAACTCCTTGTAGTGTAGGATAAAACTGAAAAAAACCAAACTCCTTGCCAAGTCGATTTGACTCATAGTGACCCCTCCTTGGGTTTCCGAGGTGGTATCTCTGTGGAAGTAGATTGCCCCATCTTCCTTCCGAGGATACTGCATAGGAAATGTGTACTTCCCATGACGTGAACAGGATCTTTTTCTTTTCTGTTTTTCCCTTCTGGTTGAAGTGAAATTTACAGTGCACTTTCTTACAGAGGCAGAAGCAATGTGACATCATGGTTGAGAGACTCAGCCCCACTTCTGCCGCTTAATAACTCTATGACCTTGGGCATCAGTTTTCTGATTATTAATGCAGTGAATAATAGTATTTAACTCAGAACGTTATTGTGAAAATTGAATTTATTATTTTTTGTAAAGCTAGTTTATATAAGCCTTACATATCATAAACCCAAACCAAACCCACTGCCATTGAGTTACTTCCAACTCATAGCGACCTCCATCAAGTTTCCAGGACTATAAATCTTTACAGAAGTAGATCGCCTCATCTTCCTCTCGTGTGAACCACTGGCCTTCTGGTTAGCAGCCAAATGCCTGACCCACTGTGCCACCAAAGTTCATTTGCATCTCATATGTACTCAATAAATGTTAGTTACTATTTATTTTCCTATTTATAATTCTTGCAAACAGAAATATTTAAAGCCAGTTTTATGTTCGTTTCTAATAGTAGTCTTCAGCTTTATGCACGTGTTTTGCTAGTTGCCAGTGTACAAAAGTATTCTGTTCCCACAGAAGTACACAAATGCCCTTTGGTCAGTTAATATTCCTGCACATAGTAGGATCTCTGTTAATTTACTTAATGAAGGAGGAATTTTTCAAGTTTTTTTGAAGTAATTTTTCCACTTTAGTCTTGACATAAGGGACTTGTTAATTCATTTATGTAAATGTCTAGCAAGTGGCTGTTATGTGGCAAGTAGGGAGCCCTGGTGGTACAGTGCTTAAAGCACTCAGCTGCCAACCTAAAGACCACTGGTTCAAACACACCAGCTGCTCTGTGAGAGAAGGATGAAGCAGTCTGTTTCCATAAGGATTTATAGCCTTTGAAGCCCTCAGGGCAGTTCTCTGCTCTGCAGGGTCACCATGAGTCGGAATTGACTCACGGCAGCGGAACTGACTCACAGCAGCGGGTTTGCTTTTGTGGCAGGTAATGTGTCTTGCCTTGGTAATACAATAGTCAGCTTAGTGAGGGCAATCTATCTTGGAAGGTACAGTTAAACAAATAGTAACAGATGTGTGGGGGAGGTTCAGTGGTAGAATTTCACGTGGGAGACCGTGTTCCGCTCCTGGCCAGTCCACCTCATTCACAGCTACCACCTGTCTGTCAGTGGACACTGTGTGTTGTTAGGGTATTGAGCAGCTTTCAGTAGCACTTCCACCCAAGACAGACTAGGAAGAAAGGCCCGGCAAGCGGTTTCCAAAAACCAGGCAGTTGAAATCTTACATATTTTAGTAGTCTGAACCACAGCTGGTTGTGGAGATGTCATAGGACTGGGCAGTGGTTCATTCCATTGTGTACGGGTTCACCAGGATTCAGACAGCAACTCAGTAGCTGCTAACCAGGATTCAGACAGCAACTCAGTAGCTGCTAACAACAGCAGCAGCAGCGACAGATGTGTACATGTCATGTGAGGATGCTCTAGGAGCCCATGTTAGTGAGACCCAGCCACGTCTAGAGGAGGTATGCAGGGAATGTGCCCTGGAGAAGGTGACGTTAGAATCTTGGCAGAGGGAACAAACGTTTAGAAGCCTTTTCTGCAGTTTTGAGTGTATGTGAAGGAGAGGAGGTCAGAGAAGGAAGGAAGCATTTGGCCACAAAGGTCTTTTAAGTGGGTGATCATGTAATTTATGTCCAACCTGGAGCACTTGACAGTGAAAGAGAGTACTACTAATAGTAAGGTTGATTGGTAAATTGGGACTCTAACAAGAAAACTGGGATAGGTCATACTGCTTACAAGCCATGTTAAGGAGTTGGGGTTTTATTTCGAAGACACAGGATGGCTCTGTCCATCTAGAGATTGGATTATCAAATTCAAGATTATGTTTTTCTGGGCTTGCTTAACTGTGCACTTTCTTAGAGAGGCAGAGATACTATGCCAGCAGACAGAGGAACAGAACTTGGAATTCGTAGACTTTCTTAATATTGTGTCTTGGATAACTAGTATGTTGCCTTTTCACCTGGTAGAGAAATGGGATTTAGGATTATACTACTGGTTGGAGATGGATGTTAAATCAGATTTTTATTTCCTAATCAATAAGATCTTAATCTGGCTCTTAGTGAAAAAATATTTAAGAGGGAACTGATGTGTATCTATTTAAGATTGCCTGAAAGTAGTTACAGATTATATAATGCTTAATGTATACCAGGCCTAATTGTAGGAGCCCTTAATCCTTATAACAATCCTATTACTATTATATCCCCCATTTTGCAGAGTTAAAAACTGAGGCTCTGAGTGCTAGCTTGTCCAGGGTCACATAGTTAGTAAATAATAGAGCCTGGGTTTGAACTCAGATACTTTGACTTTGGAGTGTGTGCATAACCAGTTGGCTATACTACCGTCAAGTGACAATGGTGGTATCAGTAGTGTCAGGCATAGTGGGAAATTTGGGAGTATTTTTCACATTAGATTTAGGTAAATTTTTTCACAATGATTTTTATGTTTTACAGCCTCCAAAAGTATGTTCGGGAACAGATTCTATTAGCAGTAGCTGTAATTGTAAAACGAGGATCATTAGATAAATCAATTGACTGCAAAAGCATTTTTCATGAAGTCAGCCAGTTGATAAGTAGTGGCAATCCCACTGTGGTAAGTGTGCTAACTATTTATATTTATAAATATTTAAGGTTTTTATTTTGTATTATATAGCAACATTAGAAGAAAGCTACATAAAAGCAAACGCACAAACCAATAAATCAAGCAACTTTCATTTGTCCAGGTTTTCTTCTGGTCCTTTTTTATAAATGTATGTCATATAGATATCATGTGCTTTGCTTTTTGATGTGATTTTGTAAATTTTTTGCATGTTGCCATGGTGTTTTGATCATTTTAATGGTTGTACAATATTATAAGTTAATCATTGTAAAATACATAAGATATTATATGTATTCCCTTCTGTTGAACATTTTCTCCATTTTTAATCGACTTTGACAGCTACTAGTGATTACAGAAATGTACAAATATAAAACGATACCTGGTATAATGGCTGCTGTTGTTAGGTGCCTTTAAGTCATTTCCAATCACAGCGACCCTATGTGCGGCAGAATGAAACACTGCCCTGTACTGTACTGTCCTCACAATCCTTGCTGTGTTTGACCCTTTGTTGAAGCCACTCTGTCATTCCATCTCATTGAGGGTCTTCCTCTTTTTTGCTGACACTCTGCTTTACCAAGTATGAGCATCCTTCTCCAAGGATGCTCCTTCCATGTGAGGACAGAGACTTTGTCTCACGTACTCTGGACATGTTATCAGTTGCTCCGATAATGTTATCGGAGCATTCTGTGGCTGTACTTCTAGCAGTCCATGTTATAGTCAGTATTCTTTGCCAGCACCGTAATTCAGATGCATCAGTTCTTCAGTCTTCTTTACTTATTGTCCAGCTTTCACATGCGTATGAGGCAACTGAAAGTACCGTGGTTTGGTCATGCACACCATACTCCTCAAAGTGACATCTTTTCTTTCTAACACTTTAAAGGTCTTTTGCAGCAAATTTACCCAATGCAGTATGTCATTTGATTTCTTGACTGCTGTTTCTGTGGGAGTTGATTGTAAATCCAGGCAAAAGGAAATCCTTGACAGCTTCAGTCTTTTCTCCATTTATCATGATGTTGCTTATTGGTCCAGTTGTGGGGAGTTTTGTTTTCTTTATGTTGAGGTGTAATCCACACTGAAGGCTGTAGTCTTTGATCTTCATCAGTAAGTGGTTTACAGGTTGGTAATGAGTCTTCCTCCAATCCTTTTGCTATGTTCTTCCCATAATCCAGGTTCTTGGGTTATTTAGGCAGCATACAGATTGTGTGAGTATGGTAAAAGGTTACAACACCAATGCCCACTTTTCTTGGTTTTAAACCATGCACAATCTCTTTGTTCTATTTGAACAAATGTCTGTCTTATGGTCTATATACAGGTTCCTGATGGGCATAATTCAGTGCTCTAGAATTCCCATTCTTCACAGTGTTATCCATAATTTGTCATGATCCAAACAATCGAATGCATTTTCATATAACATGTATCATTAAATATTTGCTGTACTAACAGGTGAAGGTTTACCGTGACTTCCAGGTACTATTGTCAACTGGACAAGTTTGACAGCCGTGGTTTTTGACTGAGTTACTTTGGACAATGTGACTTTTCCCCCCTCTCAGCCAGTCTTCTGTCCACTTTTTAGAGAGCTAGATTTATGCCCAGAGAGTGACTGGTTATAATCACTGTCATAGAGAGGAGGCGCTTGAGTTGAGGAGTGTGATCTTTGGTTGGAGCTGTAGTCTTATAACCAGCTGAATGATCTTAACTCACGTAGAATGGGGATGGATAGTACTTTGCCATTTCAGGTATTCCATCTTTAAATATTATGGTGTTTTTTTTTTTTTCCAGTTTTACTTTTTGACTTTAATCATTTGAAAGAAAACTGTAAAATGGTACACATTACAACTCTGTGAATTATTTTACCTCTTCAGTGATACCCTCAGTGAATAGGTATGATTTAAATAATACATTTGAGGCTTTGATCCTACAATGTAGAGAGACATATATGTTAGGAGGGCCATAGACATTGTCTCTTACCACAGTGTTGGATCTCTTATCCATCCCTAGCTCTTCATCTACCCAAAGATACACTCACCTCATTGCTCTGGCCATCTTTTCTTTCTGTCTGAGACTCGCATATACAGGGATCTAGAGTGAAGGAAGATGTAAGCAAACTTGTCAGTATTTAGGGACTTATTATCCATAACCCGGGTCTCCAGGTGGCACAAATGGTTTGCACTAGGCTCCTGTTTTTTTCCCTTTGGAATTACCAATGGTCATGTGTCTTACTCTTTTTTTCCTTACCAACTTTATTGAGGAATAATTTACATGAAGTTAGCTACATCCGTTTAACATGTACACTTTGACAAATTGTAACAGTTACATATACTGATGAAATAACCACTACAATCAAGATGCAGAACATTGCTATGTCTTGATTTTCGATTATGTGAATGTTCGATGGTGTTTTATGCCATTTTTTATGGCACAGTTCTTCTGGATAGTGCCCGTCTAATAGAACTTTATGTGTTGATGGAAATGTTCTATATCTGTATTCGCCAATACATAGCCACCAGCCACATGTAGTTTTTGAGTGAGGAAGTGAATTTAAAATTTTACTCACTTTTAATTTTGTAGTTTTAAAGATCTCCCTGTTGGTAGACATATGTCCAATTGTGATGTTAAGATAAAATGATAAAAAAGCTCTATTCCTGAGATGTCGGTGCCTCAGTGATGTCTACATTAACCGTATAGTGATAATCTTGTGTGTTTGGAGTTTTATTATCATGTGGTGCCTGACTAGTGGCCATTGTGCATAGTACAGTGGTGATACTCATTGATGGTGAAAGGAAAATAAAGTGCTGCATATAATGAGCCAACACTAATGGGAAAAACCTTCAGAAACAAAACTGCTCCTTGGAAATACCCTAGATCCTACTGCTCTGAATCAAGTGACTCTTTACATTTTAGGTTTTACTTAAGGACACCTTATTTCATTTTGATAATTTGAAGACAGGAGTCAAGCTCATTGTAATTGACCAGGCCTTAAAGTTTAGAAACTTTACCAGTAACTCTAGCATCTGTATGCTTATGACTAATGCTTTCCCCTTATCAGTTTGGTGATCATTCCAATTGCGATTTCGATACGAAGGTAGAATGTCTATAGCCTGTCCCTGGTCCCCCACAGCAGCTTATTGGCACCAGGATGTTGCAGTGAAAGGATCAAGAGTTCTCTTGCTTCTGTTTGGAATGAGCACATACACAGGAATTGTGTTCTCTTGTTCCTTTCCCCCTTGTGTAATTTGACCCAGGACAAAAAGTAGTCCCACTGAAACCTGGCTATTGGATTTTTTTGAGCCACTGGGATAACTGATGTTCTGAGAATGATTGGAACAGATGGAGCTCTTTAGTCAGACAAGATTTTTGCTCTATTCACAGTGCATACTCTTTGAGGATAGTGGATATATTTAATATCCTCATGGAATTTTCCAAAACAATATTTTTGTTAAAGTTGATTTTCTAAAAACAGGGCCAAAAACATCTATAGTAGTAAGAAATCAGTAGTAGGAGGTAGAATTTAATTTCAGGATAGAAGGATGAATTCATTTATTTATGTACTTACTTTGGATGAATGTATTTTGATGATTACATTGAAAACTTTATTCTGTACATTTCTACAGCAAGTTAAATTCATACATCATGGTCATTGCCATCTGTCCTTACCCAGCAGCTTGAAATCGGCTCATTCAGGTCTGAAAGAAATGGGGACTACAAACCAGTCAATCATTTTAATGTATCTTTCTCTCTCTTTATCTCCCTCTCAGCCTGTTAAGAATTTCTGGGAGTGGTTCAAGGATTTACTTAAGATTTTCTTAGTCTCAGAGACAATGATTAGCAATGGAAGTGAGGTTTAAAACTTCAGTAAGAAAATAGAATGATGAAATGATCAGAACATTGATATAATGTTGACTAAAAACTGACTTTATAAAGACTGACATAAAACGAGTTTTAAGATCTATTTGAAAAGAAGACATAATGAATTGATGGTTTTCTACAGGTGAAAGAAAGGGTTGACCTGATGCGCAATTTAAGTTTGATGACTTCCCTTCGCATCTCTTCTAGAATGACTCTTTCACCAACATCCATTGGCCAGAAACTGTGTAGTCTGGCTTTTCCCAGGTTTTTGGTGGCCTGTCCCTTTGATGGGTTTGATATACATGATTGTGTAGGTTTAGGGGAAGTATAATATAATACTGATCTTGGATTCACATTTAGAGTTAAATCCCAGTTCTTCCATTTACTACCTAATTGAATTTCCCGAATTATTTACCTTCCCTAGACTTTAATTAATGACCTGTGGTGGCAGTGCCTAAGGCATTTGACTACTAACCAGAAGTTTGGAGGTTCAAATCCACCAGCCACTCCACAAGAGGAAGATGGGGCAATCTACCTCCATAAAGATTTACTACCTCAGAAACCCAGTGGGGGTCACCCTGAGTCAGAGTCGACTCGATGGTAGTGGGTTTGGTTTTTGGTTAGACTTTAATTAACTAAATAAAAAAGTGTGATAAGACCAATATAGCGGCTCCTCTGAATTAACAAGTGCATTTAGTAAGCATTTAGCAAGTGTTTGTCTCATCTCTCTAGTGGTCTCCTCCACTCTCTCTTTATAGAATCCTGAGAAGTGAACACTGTTATCTTTTTCTGTGAAACAATATTTTGTTTTGAAAATCAGAAGAAAGTATTTATGCTGTTATCCATGAGTGAAAACTAATTGCTTATCCATGAAATTCTTTAAGAAGTACCTCATAATCTTGGTTCCTGTGAGGAACCAGTTCTTCAGGCCGCTCAGCAGCCTTGTCTTCCCTGTTCCTACCCCCCACTAGACTAATACTGATAGTATTAAAGGGAGGTGAGAAATAAATTTCTAAATGTTAGATAATATGGGTCAACTGTGGGACCAAAAGTTTGGCCTGTTTTCTGAAAATAACCTGAGCAATTAAGATTCTCTTTTCTAGGGAATTCTGGTGGTACAGTGGTTAATGCATTCAGCTGCTAACCAG